CGCCGCGCTTCCCAAGCGGCGCACTGTAGCAGTGCGCCACCGGGCTGGCCCCAAAAACATTTAAATTTTTTTAAGGACCTCCAAGGGCTTTTCCAAGCGGCACTGCTTCCCCCCCCCACCCCTGGTTCTGATCCGGCCCCTGCGGCTGGAACTTGGTGTATCAGTAAGGCACATGGGTGGCAAATGGACAAGAGCCTTGTGAAGGTGTCTGGTCTGACTCTGCACCCCCAGCACAGTCCCACACCCAGCGTGACGGAAGCAGGAAGGGACAAGGACCCGACACCCATCAGAGCCGGCCCGGCGTCCTCCCGCAGAGGTGCCTGCTCGCCACCAGTGACAGGTTCTGCTCCCCAGGTGGCTTCCCTATGGCAGGGCCTCTCCCTCATCCTCTGGTTCTCTGACTCCAGCTCGTGCTGGGGGCCCTGACCTAGCCCTCTAGACGGGCAGCCTCGCTCGGCTCAGCCTCACCTCCTCGTTGAGGATCTCCTGGCACTCGGAGTAATTCACGCGGGCGGCCCAGCTGCCATTGGCCAGGCACTCCCGGTAGCCATTGTCTGGGAAAGAAGAGAGAGTCAGTGGGGGGAGATCAGCCTGAGCATCTGTCTGTCCATTCGTCTGTCCATCTATCCATCCATCTGGGCCAGCACAGGAGCCTGCTGGCTGGGGGCTCTGGAGTGAAGCCGGGAGAGGGGCTTCCTTACTGCCCCCAGCTTCCTGCCTCTTTCTGCCCACTGACCTGGGTACACTGGCTTCCCTGATGCCTGCCTGTGGGGCCACACTGCCAGGATCCTGCCCGCAGGACTGGCTGTGGACAGGAGTGGCCAGCCCCCTGGGCTGTTTCCTTGCAAGCCCATATGCAGTGGTGGATTCCGTGGCAGGTGCTCTTCTGAGAGCCTTCCATTTTGGGATCTCGCATTACAGCAAAAAACAATGGCAAGCTCTCATGAGTCAGTTCTCACGCAGCTGGGAATGATCTGATGGAAGGGTATGTGGTGACATAGCCACAGCTCACGTGGCAAATTTAAATGACAGGGTTTCTTGTGATAGGGCTATTTGTGCTGGAGGTTTCTGTAGGAGGAACTCACATGGTGGCGTGGGGGGGGGTGGGGGCAGGTCTTGGAAAGGTCCCCATGGTACATTTCCCCATAGCAGGCCTTTTACTGGAGGGTCATATGGTGGGAATCTCCATGGTGGAGGTCTCTTGGACAGAAAACGACAGGTGACAGGAGTGGGCTGGGGATGTTACATGGGGAGGGTCTCATGTGGCAGGTATCTCATACTAAGATCTGCTACAACTGCTCACAGCCTGGCCTGTAGCACTTGGGGAAGAAGGCAGGAGAGTGGCCCAGGGAGGGTGGGTGTCTGTGCAGCCATCAGCCTGGATTGCAGCCCAGAACCTGTCACCTTTTAAGGAGATAGGAAGGGACCCTGTGGGCCAAACCATTGCCTGGCTTTAGGGCTCTGGGATGGGCAGAGCTTCCCAAAGGGTCCCTCTCACCCTTCTTTCTGCCTACCCTCCACGGGCACCAAGGCCCTGAAGCCAGAAGGGAAAGGACCGAGGGAGTTCTAAATCCTCTTGTCTCCTCTGCTGATGGAGGCTGCCCCCCCCGCCCCCCCTGGCCCGCATCCCTCTTCTGGCATCAGGAGCTCTGAACATGTTTCCTTGAGTTAATTCGGGCTCTGACTCCAGGTAGCACTGGCTGCAAGAGAAATGGAGCCCTGAGCCATCTCCACTCGAGCCTCCCCTGCTGCAGGCCTTTCCATGGCTCCCGCTGGCCCTTGGGGCTGGAAGAGGGCTAGGGGAGCTGCTTGAGTCCTAGTCCTTGGGCCCCGCAGGGCAGAACACCCTGAGGGAGCCAGAGGCCAGGGTTCTAGGCTGGGCTCAGCTGCTGCTGTGCTTTGTGACAGTGACCTCAGCCTCTCAGGCCCCTCTCCTCATTTATAGAAGGGCTGAACCAACCCAAGGGACCAGCAGCCTGGGAGCCGCCTCTCTGCTGGCAGCATCAGGGAGATGGTAGGGTGGGGGTAGAGGGAGGGAGCTGATTTCTGCCCTCTGGGAGAGGGAGCCTCAGCCTGGCGTCCAGGGCTGAAAGGCTGACATGACCTTCTCCTGGCTCCTCTGCTGAGAAGTGTGCCAGTGCACAGTGGGCTGGGCAGGGTTTTAAAGCTCTGCCAGGCTTCCCTTGTTGGACCAAAGTCTCAGCAGAATTGAGCCCTTGGGCAGAGCTGGCAAAGAGGCTGCTGATTTTCTCCTAATTGCTAAAGGAGGATAAGGGGAATCCAGCATCCTCGCCACAGACGGGAAGCACCTGGGACCAGAGTCTGCTATGGAATGTGTGCAGAGAAAGGGGCTTTGGGGCAGTGATCTGGCTAGAAGGGGCGGGAGCTGACCAGGTAGGGTAGGTTGGGTTGGGGTGGGAGGGGGAGGGGGAGGATGGGGAGGGAGTGGGGGTTGCTGTTCTTGCCTTAAGAAAGGCAGTGCTAAGTAGTGTTGAGAGCAGGGCCCCTAGACCCAGGCAGCTCCTGGCACCATCCCTCAATAGCTGTGCGACCTTGGGCAAGTCACTCAACCTCTCACTTTCCTTATCTGTAAAACAGAATGAATGCTCTTAATTATGGCTCCTAGCTCAATAGTTGAATATTTTTAGTTAACATGTGCAAAATGCTTGGAACTATACCCGGCATGTGGTGCTAGCTGTTATTTTTATTATTATTATCTTGGAACTGTAGTTACATAACCTCACATAAGATTCAGAACATGTCACTTGACCCAATCAAGGGGGGTGCTGGTGCAGATTATGGGAGGAGGCCCCTTTGCTCAACACCCCCCCCCCCCCCCCGCCAGATACCCCCACAGCCTGGAGGCCCTCCCAAGGCTGGGCCATGCAAGAGAATCAAGCTTCGGGGGAGGAAGGAGGTGATCCTGAAACAACGCGGCCCAACGAGAGGGAGTTGTTGCCAGGGAGGATGCACCTCCTTGTCTTTAACTGCTGAGCTGAGCAGTCCTCCCCAAGAATCACGGGAAAGTGGATATTTTTGGAAATGCTTCCCATCCCTTTGAAGACTGGGTGCAGCAGGAGTGGCATAAGGGGAAGGCCCAGAAGTCCTGGCAGCATCTCATCAGTAAATCAACTAATTAGCGCCTGATGATGAGGCACAGCTCTGGGTTCCCACCCGCTCCTGATTGCATGGCTGGGCGCGCTCCTCATCTGGCCCTGGGGCATCAGGAAAGGGGACTCTTCCAGCCCTGCCCTGAAATGCCGACCTCATGTCAAGGGACCATCACCCAGCTCTTTTCCTGGGGTCACAGAGAGAAGAATGAGGAAGTCTAGAGAGCACCTCACCCCAACCCTTCACCCTCCCACAGGTGGAGAAACAGAGGTCCAGAGAGGGCCTGTGCCTAGGGTTCCTTAATCAGTTACAGGCAGAGCTGGGACTAGAACCCAGGATTCCTGGCTTCCACTTAAGGCAGGGACAGCAAATTGAGTAGCACGTGCCCAGGCACTAACGCCTGAAAACACTTATTTGGGACCTGTCAAGTAACCCCTGGGGACAGGAGTGGAGGGAGCTTGTGCGAGTGGCCGGGGCTGGCTGCAAAGGTGGGCAGGGCTGGGACCACAGAGGGCCTGGCAGGCCCTGTTCAGGAGCACGGACTTGACCACAGAGGCAATGGGGGACCACAGAGGGCTGACTCCAACTGAGGCCTTGATAGTGGGGGATTGATGAATCCAGGGCTAGGGTTAGAGATCAGGACTGGGGCAGTGGCATTGGGGAAGGAGGGCAGGAAGAGTCGGGCATGAGAATCACTTTAGAAGTGGTACTGACAGGCCTGGTGCCACGGTGAGGGGGAGGGACCTGCTCCCGGATTCCCCCACCCGCCGATTCGCCAGCCCCAGTGCTGCCTCCGTCCTGGGAGCTCCAGAAAGACTGAGCACACAGCATTGTGAGTGGGGCAGTGGGCAGGTTCTGGCTTCCCAGGTTCTGACTCTGCATGCAAGCTCTCTAACCTTGGGCAGGTTATTAGCCTCTCTGTGCCTCGATTTCCTTATTGTAAGGTGGGTGCTACTAAATTGGAGGCTGGCTGACTGTGCATCCCCGGACTCACCTCTTTGACTTACGCGACCTCCTAGGCCCATCTCTCCTTCTTCCTACTCTCATTTCCTCTTAGTCCCCACACCCTTCCCGGTGTTTCTTCTCCTTCTCTTGGGTCCCTCCTATGGCCAGGACATGGTTGCAGACACATGAATCCACTGGATCTGGCTGTTCCAGCTTCCTGCCTTGCCTGAACACCTCCCAGGGAAGGGCCACAGTCACACACCAGGCTGGGCCAGGGATAAGAGGGGGGAAAATGTCCTGGAGACCACGCAGTGAGTGAACCCCCTGGTGGCTACGGTCACCCCCCGGTATCCACTTGGGTCTGAGCTCAGGCCCACCAGGCAGGAAGGGCCCCGACCCCAGGGATCTGGGCCCCCACCCTCCCTTGGACAGGTTAGGGCCTCTGGCCTGCAGCTGTTGCCCTCTTGATAAGCAGGGACCTGAGTCATTGACAGAGGACAGTAAATTAATTCTGAGGTGACAGGTGGTATAGCAAAGAGCTGCAAAGCCTGGCAGTGGGGGTTCAGGGCCTCAGGGGTGAGGTATCTACATGGAGATCAAGTGTCTGAACAGACCCTGGGTCAGTCCCGCCCCACTCCCACCTCACCTATGAGCCTGGGATGCAAGCCAAACCCCTGCCTGTGGATCTAAAACTCTGGGTCCCCCACCTCCTGGCTGGAGGGCCCTGGGCAGGTCACCTCAGACTCAGGGTTCTCATGTGCAAAGTTGGGACTGCTCTGATGATTCCTGCCCTACCTCATGGGGCTGTTGCAGGCTCAAACAGACTAACCTGAAGTTTGTTAACTACAGTAGAAAGTGTCAGACAGATCTGGATGCAAATTCCAGCTTTACCCCTTGCCCACTGGTGGTGTTGGGTAAGTTCCTTAACTTCTCTGAGCCTCAGAGGACTTAGTTATACAATGGGTGATAGTGTGTTCCAGCAGCATTGTAAGAATCAGCAGGAATGAGCACAGAGTGCCCAGCAGGGCACAGAGCTGGCCTTTGGCAAATAGTGGCTGTACCCATGAGAGGTATTAGAGTTACTATTATCATCATCATTTCCCCCACCTCCCAGCAGATGGCCCACCCTCCACCTTGTTCCTTACTTGTGGTGTTGTAGCGGACACCGTAGAAAAAGGCAGGGCAGGGCCGAGCCACCAGCTGCCCCGCTGGGCTCTGGGGCCAGCAGGTGCCGATGAGGTCCACGGACGTGTTGCACTGCAGTTCTGGGGGCAGAGATGGCTGGTGAGGCAGAGCAAGAGTCCTGCCCACCTCCCCACTGGTTCCCATCCCCACACCAACTGGGAACAGGACAAGAACAATAACCCCGATACAGACGTGAGCTTGTTCTATGCTGGGGAGACACCAGGGGAAGAAATCTGAGTTTGATGCTATGGAACTAGGGAGCCAGTGTAGGTTCCAGAGCAGAGGAGGAGATGGTTGGGGGTGATGTTAAAAGCTAAGGTCCTGGCCGGCATTGGGAGGATGGCTGGGGGTGCTTCAGGTCCCCTACTCTGTAGCATGAGGATGCTTCTGTCGGTCCCTCATTTGGTGATAGACTGGAGCTCTGAGACTTCATGGGAACATTCTAGAACAGGCCCAACCAACCCCAGACCCAGCCCCCTCACATGTCTCTGGAACCAAAGCACATCTACCCTGGCCCTGCAGGGAAGAAAGAGCAAAGTGAAGTTTTTCCAGCTTCCAGTTGGCCTGATAACCAAACTTACTGAGCATACCCTGTGCTCTGGTCTGTGCTGAGCCATGAGAGGATCGACTGAGAAAGGGAGGGAGACACCATTTGGGGGAGTGGAAAGAGTACTGAACTGGGAGTCTGGGCCCATTGCTTCAGAAGGAGTTCTGCTACTAATTTGTTGTGTAACCATAGGCAAGTCACTTGCCCTTTCTGGGCCTTACTGTCTTCATCTATAATAAAATAAAGTGGTTGGGCTGGACCAAAAATTCTTAATCTCAGTTCATTGGAGGCTTCAGTGTTCATAGAGACCCTGAATATAATGAAAAATTTGGTGTATGTATTTTAATTGGGAAGGGGCCCATTGCTTCTTGTTAGATTCTCAAAGCGGTCTGTAACTCAAAAGAGACATAAACAGCTGAACTAGGGAGAGGATGTCAAAGTCCCCTGCCAAATATTTTCCCTTATTCAAAGAGCTTTTTGGAGTAAATGTGTGTGTGTGCACACACGCGGGTGTATGTATGTATGTTGGGGCTGAGTCAAGGACACAGTGACACTTCAGAAGGGTAGGAGGGATACGGTCTTCAAGGGGTGGGGTCTGAGCACCCCTGGCACAGTCCTGGCATCCCTTCTGATGCTGTCCCTGCTTTCTCTGCTTTCATGCCCTTCTCAGCATGAGGCCGGTACACCAGCGTCCCCATCAGGGCATGAGGGGGTTAATAACCTGGAACTGGCACAAGAATTCACAGACAGGCCAGGGAGAGCTATGAACCAATGGGAGTCAGGGGCAGCCCTGCATTAGCAGCTGCCAAGCCCTGGTTGGGGCCTGCCTGCCATTTCCTGCCCAAATTAGTCTGTCCCAATCTCTCAGGAAACAGCATTGGGTTAAATTGGCTTCTTTTCCCTACTGGACTCAGGGTAGTGCGGAGCAGTGCTTGTACCATATGGCTGTTTTTCTTTCTAATCAAAACTATTCACAGGGTGTTCCTGCAAATCAGGGCTCAAAGAGAACAGGCCTTAAGGTCAAGTGACTTAATTGAAAGAGAAAGAAATCTGGATTGGGGCTTAATAGATCTGAGGAGATGGTGGGCCAGTGGTTGGAGTGGGCAAAACCTGGGGCTGTGACACAGTGGAGTCTCCGTGAAATATCATCACGAAGTGTGCCAGGTTGGGATTTTATCAGTCATAGATCATGCTGATAGCACTGAGCCCCAAGGCTGGGGGAAGCTGGAGGCATGTGGCCATGGAGGTGGGGGGATAACATCATGAACCGTGCACTGCGACTTCAAAGCTCTTCTTTATCTATTTTGTTTGATCTTCATGTGTCCTGCAATGTCATTATTCCCCTTTTACAGATGGGGAAATTGAGGCCCGGGGAAGCTAAATGACTTGCCCAAGGTCATGAGTCAAAGTGTGAAAAAAAAAAAAAAAATCAAGACTCATAGCCAGGTGTTTTTGGCTCTAAATCAAGTGCTGAGTACCCTACGTTTTGCAAAGAAATAAGTCAAAGGGGGTGGGGGGACGGTCAAGGAGGCAGCAGAGAAAGGAGCAGCATTTATTGAGGCCATACTGTGTGCCAGGCACATGCCAGGTGCTTTACATATACCACCTCATTTAATGACAACATCACACCTCCCCAGAAGGTTGTTCATTCATTCACTCACCCATTCGTTCACAGCATGTACTGACCTAGGCACTGGGAAGATAAATGGGATGTCATGTGTGGCAGTGTATGGAACGGTGCCTAACACACCCTCTCAGTGTGGCATCTGGCCTCCCTCCCTTCCCTGGGCAGTTCCCCAGATCCCCCTCTGCCAATAACAGAGCGTAGGGAAGGACTGGGCACCAGCCACAGCCAGGACCAGGCCAGAACCAAGGTAGAGGGTGGCCACTGAGCGTATGGGCCTCCTGGCCCGGAGGACCCAGCACCTGCCAGCGCCCTGTGCTCAAGGGCTCTAATCACAGTCCCGCCCGGCCCACAGCTGGTCCCGGGATATGGGGACCCATACGGGGGTGGGCAGCGCAGAAGGCTATTTACCCCTGGTCTGTGGTTCGGATCCGGTGGTACCTCCCATGGGTCTCACACCACCTCCCAACGTGGGTGCTAATCCTCCCAATTTTACAGATAAGGAACTGAGCAGTCAAACGGCTTATCCCAAAATACTAAGTGTCCAAAGATTCGAAGAGGCAGAAGTGGATTCTGAACGCTGGTCTTTTGACGCCAGCCCAGGGCTCTTCCCAGGGCTCCACAGCGGGCGCCAGTCCGGGCTCCTGTCCCCTGCGGCTCACGAAGGCTGCCTGGAGGTGGCGCCGGGAATCCAGCCGCAGACGCGAGCTTTGCATTAAGAGCCCAGAGAACCCTGGAGGGAATGCAAGTCTGTGCGAGAGACGGGAAGAAGGAGGGAGGCGGCAACAACGAAGAGGAGCCAAACGAAAGGGGTCAGGACCCAAGGCCCCGCTTTCCCAGAGTAAAAGGCCGGGGCGCCCGCCGGGGGCAGGGGCTGGGGGCGGGGTCCAGGGAAGGGGTGGAGCTACGCGGGGCGTGGCCAGAGGTGCGCGAGCCAATCCGGAGTGGCGGCTGGGCTCAGGCGACGAAATACACGCTAAACACGCACAGGGGCGTGGGACACGTGGTTTTAGCGAGCAGGAGGAGCCGGGAGAGGCGGGAGAGAAGCGGAAAAGAAGGTGGAGGACGAGGGGACCAGAGGCCCGGCCTGGGACTGCCTGCGGGGCACGGCGCCTTCCAGCAATGTGTCCTGCCTCGGGGCGTTCGCACCTCCCGCTCCGGGCCCTGCAGACACCGGGTCCGGGAAGAAGGAGTACGAGGGTCCCTGGGGACCCAGGAGAGACAGGGCCTAAAAGGGAACGGTCGTATAGGACGAGGCGGGACGGGAGGAAATGAACATGTGTTTACCACCACGACCACCGTATACCAGGCACTGTGAAGGGGGCTTTGCATGACGAAATTCGTGCCACTCACTCAATCCACCCAACTACTCTTTGAGGAGGAGAAAAGAGAGGGGGAGGGGGGAGTGGAAATAGGAGACAAGAAGACAGCAAGGGTAAAACAGGGAGACGCAGAGGGAAAGCCACGAGAGAGAGGTACGGAGAAAGATGATGTCAGAGGTGCTGGGGATAGGGAGGCGGTCGATCTCCTGGCTAGGAAGGGGAGACGGCAGGAGGAAGCCAGTCTTCGTGTCACTCAGCCTGGTGGCTATCAGGACCTCAAGGTTAGGGCTGTTGGCTGTTGGATTCTGATTCTTGGCCCACGTCCCCTCAAGGTCCCACTGCCACAAATGCTCAACGTCTTCTGCTCTCCTGGGGGCTATCTTCCCGGGTATCATCGTTCTGGGGTGAGGAGCAGTTTGGACCAGGATAAGCCAGCCTTGCAAATAGCCAAACAGATTTACTAGCCAGCTGCACGAAGGCGGAGCTGCTATTACGAGCCGAACCTGGCCCACAGCCCCCTGTCCCACAGCGCCCCTCCTGGTCAGGTTAGGTACAGATAGGGATACTGATAACTTGGCTCTTTAACAAGTATTCTAGAGGCTGGGGACACGGTAATGAATAAAATAAATGCCCTGCCCTCATGGGGCATTATAGAATCATTATAAAATGATTACATTCTAGTGGGGAGATAATAAGCAAGCAAACAAACACATATCTGTGAACCAGTGAGAAATGCTTTGGAGAAAAACTGAGCAGTGTAAGGAGATAAAGACTGACAGGGGTACTATTTTGATTTAGTGGTCTCTAAAGTACTAACATTTAAGCAGAGAACTAAAGGAAGGGAGGGAGGGAACCGTGTGTATGCCTGGGGGAAGCGTGTTCTAGGCAGAGAAAACAGCAACTACGAAGGTGCTGAGGCCGTATGTGCTTGGTGTGTTTGAGCTGCTGGCATTCCCATCATCTGGTGGCTCACTGCCTCATTCACAGGGCAGCTAGATCTCTGAGCATTTTGCCTGGGGGTGGGGAGAGGTGGAATCAACCCACTCACCAGCCCTGGTCACTACAGGCTTTCACGTGGGAGGGAGTCAGGTGAGCTAATGTAATGTATAAAACTGGTCCTCCATCTTCCTCCTTCCCCAAACATGCACAAAGCAAATGCACAGGGGCCCACACTGTGATTTCTCATGGGAGCACTGGGGACAGACTGCCCCAGATCATTGCAAAGGGAGGGAAGAGAGGAGGGGAGCAATGTGGAGGGCTCCCACCTGCCTCTGGAAAATCCCTTCTGTGTTCGGTTCCTGGGGAGCCTGCTTTAATGGATGGATAAGAATCCTTTGAAGGTAGTCTACTTACTGCCTGTGCACAATTGCGCACTGGTTTCTTCCCCCAGGTAGGTTACACAGTTCGCCTCCCATCAGGCTTAGGGTCCAAATGTGCTCAGTAGATCCTCCCATGCTAAATAACTTCAGAGGGAGATTGGAACCTGGCTCCCGTCCCAGTGATGCCAGTGCTCCTGTCAGAGGCTGCTAAATGAACTACAAGGTAGGCAGGCACTTGGCAGCAGCTCTGCAGCTGGGAAGCCCATCCCCCTGTTTGGTTTAAACCCAGGAGAGGGACTCAGTCAAGGCTGCCTAGAGAGAGCAGCCAGGCGGCCCAAGGGCAGTCTCTGAAACACACATTCTTGTCCTTTCAGAGGAATGTATTGCTGGGATGAATGGGCAGGGGTTATGCCTGGGTCACCTGGCATGGACAGGGTGGCAGAGGGCAGGCAGAGAGTCCTGGTCTTTGCTTGGCCACCTCGTGGTTGAGCTGCTTCCTCTTTGGCTGGGCAAAGCAGAAAGTTGAAGGGCGTGTGACACATCAGGATAAGTGCATGTGAGCCTCTTGTGTGTTTGTGGGCTCTTTGTTTTTGAATTCCCAATACCTAGTACAATGCCAGGCACATAGTAGGTACTGAGGAAAATTTGGGGCCATGTGCAAACCTAATATGGGTACGGGAAACTGCAGGGGTGACACTGCACCCCAAATAACTGACCACATGGGGCCCTGGGCACTGTGGCTCTCTGAGTGGCTCTACAATGTGGTGCTGGTGGTAAACTCTGGAATCAGGCCCACTTGGTTCAAGTGTTGGGGCCACTGTTTAGTAACTGTGTGTGCTTGGGCAAGTTACTTAACCTCTCTGAGCCTCAGGTTCCTCTTCTATAAAGTGGGGATAAAAATACTTCCTGACAATATTGTTGTGATGATTGAATGAGAACAAAGCACTGAGAATGGAGTCCAACACGTAGTGGGAACTATATAATATTAGCTGTTATTATCATTTTCTACCTTAAGGGGATAGAAACTAATGACCCCAGGTCCTTGTCAACTCTGATTCTATTTGTCTGTGATGTCATTAATCAATAATTTTATTACTTTCTGGCATTGAAATACTCCTGCCATGATTGTATAAGTTGTCATCTGTGATCTGCCACATGGTAGAGCCTCAGCTCTGGAGACCCACCCACTCCCTGCTCCTGGCATGAGGCATGTGAGGGGCCCCCCACAGGCTCTGGCTCAGTGCCAGCTGCCCCAGCCAAACGCCCATCCATCTGTCCCGGCCCCTCTGCCCCACCCTCACCATCTGTCTCTACCAGTGCCCATCGGCCTGGGTAGGTCTCAGCCTCAGAAGACAAATGGCCCGTTATCAGAGCTGTTGTGGAAGGTGATGGATCGCGTACCATGATGCCAGGCAGGCTGGGCCAGGCTGGGAGTGGGGGCACAGAGTACAAATCACCAGGGAATGAATGCCATTCATCATGGCCTGCTGCCTCCAAGGACAGGTGACACCTGCATGGGCTCGGAGATGTCCCTCCTCCTGAGCACAACAAGCAAGTTAATGAAGCCTGACCTGGCCCCTGGCAGGAAGGGCTGGGGGTGGAGCCTTTCCTCTCAGGTCCAGCCTCTGAGCAGGTCTCCTTCCTCCCCATCTCTCTCTGCTAGAACTCCAGACTCCTGCCCGAGAACTTACTTCCCCGTTCCCCATGGCCCAGCTCAGCCAACTCTGCAGCCTGGTGCTCCAGGCTCCCAGTGCCGCCCCCCAGGCTTACCACTCCTCCCTCCAAGTCCCTCCCTGTCCTTCCACCAGACCCACCTACTAGTCCTCGGTCAACTCTTGCTTTGGCTGAGGACACTGGCTCTTCTCGCCCAGTCCACACTCAAGAGTCTCTCTTAAAACTCACCTTTGAGACCTCCTCCTTCAGGAAGCCTTGTTGGATTTGCACCACCCCTGTCCTAACCTCCCCGCCACCTCCATCATAGGGAGCAATTTGTGACAAGTATCTTCCCTTCATTCCAGCTATACCGTAAGCACTTTTAAAAGCCTACTGATGTTACCAACAATAACACCCAGTAGTGGCGTGGCCTCACAATGAACCCCTCCCGCCTCCTGCTACACACTTGTGTCCATTTCTCTGTTAGCACGTGTCTTGCGCTCTGCCTTACAGTACATGCGTTTATTCCAGGACTTGACTCCTGCACCAGACTGTGCATCCTTCTTTCTTCCCCCAGTGCCTTGCATGGGATATGCTGCATAACAGGTGCTCAGTTAATGAGTCGGAGTGAATCAAGGAGAGACTGGAAGAGGAAAATCAAGGATCAAAGGAGCCTCCCAAAGACCCTCAGGTGCAGGACGCCTTCTCCATTTTTGCCCAGCAGCAGCCGTCCTCGGGACCACACTCAAAGTTAGAACAGGCATGGCCTCAGGAGCCCAAAGACCTAGACTTGGGTCCTAGCCATTGCCACGTACTGGCTGTGTGGTCCTGGGAGAGTTATGTAACTCTTCCGTGCCTCAGTTTCCTCATCTGTACAAATGTCAGGTTTTAAACTCCCGTGAGGATAAAATAATTATCGCAAAGCACTTTGTAAATGGTAAAGTTAGCCAGTATTTTCTATGGAGGAGGTATAGAGCTTGGTATTGAAGAGCACACCAGAAGCCAGACTGCCTGTACTCCGCTCAGCGCTCCGTCACTTTCTAGTGCTTCTCTGTGCTTCAGTTTCCCTAGGTGCAAAATGAGGCTCACAGCACCTAGCTCAGGAGGACATTGTGATAATTGGGTTAATATTTCTCAAATTCCTGCAACAGTGCCTGGTGCGTAGTTAGCATCACACAGTGTTACACTTTGGGCCTTTTTAGCAGCAGAAAACAGCAGCCTCTCTTCCTCGCTGGATGCATCCCTGAGTCACAGCCCAGCAGCAAGGTCTGAGATGCCTTCCCCTGTTGCCCACCCTAAAGCAGGAAAATAACTACTGGGCTTACTTTCTGATGTTCCTCCTGTGCCCACGGCAGATGCTGTTAACTTAATCGCAGCTCTTTCCCACCAAACTTACACCCAGCTTCAGGATCCTTCTCAACACAGCACTTCACGGAGACATGACGAAGTGCCTGGAGCCCTGGAGAGGAAATCTCCCTGCTATTCCTGCCTTAGGCTCTGTGCGCAGGCCCTGGGAGACCTGGAATCTTGCAGGACGGGGTTGGGGGCACTCACCGGAGATGTTGCTGGCAAGGGACAGGCTCTCACAGTGCTGGTCCTGGAGGGAGGCGGACACAGGGTTCAGCCCCAGAAGGAGAAGGGCCTGTGGGCACAGGGAGATGAGGGACAGTTAGGCTGGTGCCATGAGCAGTGTGGCCTGCAGCTTCCTGCCTCCCCTCGCTTCCGCCTCTTAGTCCAGTCTCTTCCCAGACACTTCTCACAGTCTCCTCCCTCTCCTCCCCCCTTGTCCTCTCTGTCTGGAAGATCTGGAGCTCCCCTGCTCTTGGAGGGGCCTGGTAGGGAGGTGGGTAAGTGAAGGAGCCCAAGCTCCAAGGGCAAAGGTGAATTTTATCCTCGGGGCTGGGACCTCCGGCGAGGCTCTACCAGAGGAAGCCACCTCCATGCCATGGGATCCCAAGCATTGCCCAACTGTGTCCCACCACACACACACACACACACACACACACACATGCTCTCCCACCTGCCTGCTGAGCACTGCAGACTCACAGACCTTCACTAATGCACCTGCCTCCCTCTCCACCTCCAGAGATGTAGGCGCTCCTGGCCTCTTGTTTAATGAGCTGCTCCCTGAGCCCTCATCCCTGCCTGGCTAATTACCTATCACTACAAATTGTGCCTCATGGTTTATCAAGCCCTTTTACATCTGCAAGGACACTTTATTCTTCTTGGCGCTGGTGTGGCTGTGCCTATTTGCAGATGAGGAAACTGAGGCTCAGAGAGGTGAAGGGATAAGTGTGTCTGGAGAGATGGCTGTCCTATTCCAGGGAGAACATTTGCCCTTTAACCTCCCCGAGGGCTCTATGTCACTCTCATTTCAGAATTTCAGACCACTTGGGAGGAGAGTGGCATGGGCCCCATACCTGGAGGGCTGCCCCTTCTTCAACAACATCCTCCTGCAACCATTGTGTCCCCTCCCTTGAGGTCACCACCCTCCCTACAGATTTAAAGTCACAGAAACCTGGGGTCTAGCCCCAGTTTTGCTGTGTTGCTACGGGCAGGTTACTTGCCCTCTCTGTGCTTCAGATGCCTCACCTGAAAGCCCTCCCACGCTTACACGATGCAATGTATGCAGAAGTGTTTTGTAAATGGCACAGCATGCTGCATGAGGACAGGGATTTTGTTTTGTTCGTGGCACTCATATTTACTGATAAGTTAATGAATGACATTGTGTTTCAGGTATATAATAGGCACTCAATAAGGCCATGTTGACTGGTTTAAACTTGGTGGTTTTTATTTAGTCAAGGGTTGGAAGAGAGGAGGTTGTTTCTCCCGGGGTTTGACTTGCAAGGGGTTAAGAAGCACGGGGAGGTTGGGGAGGGGGAAGCATTGTAACCGCCCCTCCCCCCAGCTGTGGGTCCTGGGCACCCAGTGACTAGCATGCTCTGTCACCTGATCAGGATGGTGAACCTGAAGCTGCTCTCGAGACTCTTCACCACCCCTGCTCCCCTGCTCTTCCTTCTGGGGCCCCCTCCCTCTGACTCTCTCCAGGGCCCCCTGGCCAGGGTGCACAGCCTCTGCTCATTTCCACACTGTGTGCAAAACTCACGGCAGAACTTCACACACAGACTCTTAGCTCTGGAAGCTGTCTCAGGACTTCACAATGGAAAAATGAGACCGGGAGAGAGGCAGGGGCTCGCCCCAGTCACTGAGCGAGCAAGTTGCTAGTGTAGACTAAAGCCGGGTGCTGGCCAGCTCACGCAGCAGCCCGTAGCCCTCATGCAGTGCTGGGACTGGGTGAGGAGGGAGCAAAAGTTAAAGGACTGTCAAAAATCTAGTAGACAAGACATGTGCTATTTTAATGCAACGTATTTTTTTAAACCTAAGTTAGTGACCCCCAATCCATGATGAACAAAATATCAAGAACTTAAAAAAAAAAAAAGCAGGCCCAGTAACAGTGCTGGGCCATATTGGTGCTTGGGGCAAAAGGAGAAATCAGTAGTAATATTGAAAGGTTATTTATCATGACGGCTGAGGTTTCTGGCGCCTCTGTACATGTCGTGCTTGAGGAGAACGCCTGGCTCGCCCCACCCTGGTCCACCCTGCCCATGTGCTTTCCCCAGCAGGACCCCACCGCCCCTGCCCCGTGGCTGTCCGTCCTCCCTTCCCCTCGACTCTTCCCCACTCACCCTTTCCGGACCTCAGGACCCTCTCCCTATCCTTAGAAGCAAACTAACCCACGCTTTTCCGAAGGCCAGCTTTCTGTGCTCACTTGGAGGGAAGGTCCTCCCTATCCCAGCCCACCAGGGTCATGCATCTTCACCAGTACCCACTCCTTTCCACTCCTGTCCTGATGATGATGGCAGGCTCTGCACCCCTCTCTCCCTCCCAATAGAGTAATCCCCACCCCTGCTCAGAGTCTGGTCCTGCCCCCACCTGCAGGAAGCACCCTCGACCCTGATGACTCACCCGCATTGTCCTCTCAGTGACACGCCTGAGTCCTTCGTGGGCTTTGTGTACTCCATGCCCTCGCTGGTGCACTCCTTCTGTCATGTCATAGGGGGTCTCTCTGCTCTCATGGGACCAAGCTCCAGGCTCCCAAGCACCCCCCAGCCCTGTACCCCCTGTCCTATGCTTGGCACTCGGGACACTCAGCACACAGTGCTGGGGTTAGCTCCAGGGACTTGGGAGTGATTATAACAAACCCATTCATCTCTCTGGCCCCAAGGAACTTCCAACACTTTATTAATCAGTAATTAAACCTCCCAGTCTCCAGAGAGATGGAGAAATATCTTTACCCTCATTTTCCAAATGAAAACACAGAAGTGGAGAGAGAAGGAAGCCACCAAGCCGGCCAGTGGCTCTTGCTGGCTAAGCAAAAAGCAGTGTCCTCATGACAAAGCTGCTCAGCTCACTCAGAGGGGCAGCTCAGCTGCTGTGCCCAGAGGCCCCTTCCAAAGGGGACTAGGAATCCCTTCCAAAGCTTCTCACCTCACCCCTGCCCATGCCACCTCCCAACACACACACACACACACACTCAAACTGGGGCTCCCAGACCAGCTCAGCCAGAGGCAAATTAGAGAAACTGGCAACACCCATTCAAAAAAAGCCCTGGTGCCTGACATTCCACCATTATACATCTAACCCTTAAGCCCTGCTTTGTGCTCGGGTCTTTCAGATCCCCCTTGAAGGCACATCATGTTCTCTTTGCATCCAGTGACTAATGTCTCTCCGGCACCCCGCCCCTTCCTATGTCTTCACACCTTTGCCCCCCGTGCAGTTTTCACCACCTCCTCTCCCTGCCCTACCTGCACCTGCTGAACGCTGCATTCCTCAAAAACCAGTTCCAGGGCCCCTTCCCTTGGCAGTACCTTCCCCAACCCTCCCAATAAAGCAACTCAGTTACCCCTTCAATGTGCCCCTTGTCCCCAAAGCACTCTGTACATGTGCTGGACCCTGTGCTCATGAAGCCACAGATGGAGGTGTTGGATTAGTGCCAAAGCACGAAAACCCTCAGTTCAAAGACTTATGGCCCAAGGTTCTGATTAGATGGCAAATACATGGACCAGAAGTTCTGATTCTCGCATCTCTACGTTGGGATCCACAGAGGAGCAACGCAAATCCAGATTCATCACAAAACCAAACCCAGTGCCACAGGCAAAGGGCTGGTCTGTTCTCAGCTGCCTTTCGCTCTGACACTTATGTCTCCTCGGTTCTTAATGGCTCACAAAGTCATTCTCTACCAACAGAGGGCCAGTGTCGCATTATGCAAAGAAAATGCTTCTTAAAATCCCCAAACCAACCTTTCCTCTCAGGAAAGTTCAGCTCTATAGCAGTCTGTGCCTGCGCCACCTCTTGCTCTGCAGAATGTTTGTAGAGGCTTCCGGTTTACTGCTGAATCACACTTCCGGGAAGAGCCCAGAGTTTTCCTGCGCATTTCCTTCCACCACCTACTGATCTCTGCTTCCTTGTTCACTAGTTTTCTATCCCCAGCAATAAGCAATTACTGCACTGGCAGGAACAGGCCCCCAAAGTTTCAAGGATGTTGTTTGTTTCCTCTTAAAACTTACTCTGGAGTTCATGAACACATAAGGGGGGTGGGCAGTGTGAAGACCCTGTAATTAGGTGCAGAATGGTGTGTGTATTGACAACCACTTTGCTGGGGAAGGTTCATAGCTTCCTCCTCTTCTCACCAAGGTCTAGCCCCCCTGCAAAAGGGTGAGAACTAAGATCATATAGTGAATGGGGTCACCTTAGAGGCTTGGGCCTCCTAAACTGGACATGTCATCCTCTCTGAAATCAAATCAAAGTGCTTTTGGCCTTAGAATGTCCACTTTCTTGGACCCTCCGTTCGCTCCTTCACTCCATCATCAGCCCCAGCCACTGGCTCTCCTTTCAGAACCTTTTTTTTTTTAAGAGGTGGGGACTCACTGTGTTGCCCAGGCTGGAGTGCAGTGGCTACTCACAGGCAATCTCACTACCAATCAGCACAGGAGTTTTGACCTGCTCCGTTTCTGATCTGAGCTGGCTCACCCTCCTTTGACAACCTGGTGGTCCCCCACTCCCCAGGAGGTCATCATATTGATGCCAAACTTAGTGCAGATACCCAATGGTATCTACAGCCCAGAACTCCAGGGCTCAAGTGATCCCCAGTGTGTGCATTTGAGTAGCTGGGACTATAGGCATGCACCACTGTGCCTGGCCAGAACCATTTTTGACACAGAGTTTTCAGGACTTCATGGGATTTACTACTTTCCAGCTAGTAGAAAAACCAAAATGGTGCTGAGAATCTGAAGCTGGCAGAGCACTAGGTTCACCCAGTAGCTAATGCCCACTTCCGTACACCAGCCTGGCAGCCCCAATTCCCCAAATAAAACCTGCACCTCAGCTATGAATCTCTCCAATCGCCAAAGAGTCAAACCTTGAAGGTCAAGTCTGAGGACTTAGGTGTGGTGCAGCTCCATTAGAGCATCACATACAATGCCTGTCCCAGGACCCAGTGGGTCCCTGACATGGAAGGGACACCATGCTGCAGAAAGCAGATGGGGCAGGTCTCATGCTCCCCATTTTCAAGCTGGTGTAGTTGAGGTGTCCAAGGTCACAGAATTGTTCTTAGAAGCCGAAGGCAGACTAGGACCCAGTAAGCAGGTGGTCCATGTCTGTCTTGCAAG